TAAAAGCGCACAAAAGACTAGATTTCATGGGCCATGATGTGTTTTTCATGGCCACGAATTTGGCAGGGCTCTACTAATTAGCCACCAGAGGGAGTTTGTTCTGTTAAGTTCTCAGTACAATATGTATACACACATACTTACTTACGGAACAAAACAATCACCAAGCAGAAAATATGTAAACATATCAATCTTTTAAAAAGGACTTTGGCATGAAAAGGATAAAATTCAACCAAAACCTGTTCCAATATTCATACCAAGATCATTGCCAAATTTAGTAAAAACAGGACACAATTTAGTGTGTGTTGCTTCTTCAGAAGTACTACCACCAAGTGTGCAGGACCAGGAAAATTTTTATATCTTTCAGCTAATCTCATTTCTTCGTAACAAGCCCACCAGTACTGTAACATAATTAGCTGGTATGGCTACAACACAAAGATGATATAATAAATTCGGCTACTACTACTGGTAGATAATGGAGATTCACCTTTAAATCAAGTGGCAGAGACCTGCGGTTTGAGAACAGAAAATCCCACATTCTATTCTTTATATCTCATCTGTAGTTTTACCAGTTATTGTGCCTGTAGCTTTATTACCGCAGGTCTCTAGAAAAACTCAAAGAATAAAATTCCTATATTTGTCATTAACACAGTAACATCCTGAAATCCCCATCAAATTAGGTCCTGCAAAGAGAGTAAAAGAACAGTACTGCTCAATTCTTAATTTAGCTAACATCCCTACAATGCCTCTCATACATACACTTGACAATGTCTCTCTCACAAAGAGCATAATGTAGTCACAGGAATAGTTTGTGGGAGGCTAGAAGATTTGAGAGATGAAAGCAAGTGGTTCTGACTCAGACAAACTAAGCACACAGTAATGCACAGGGTTAAGTGATACTTACACGGGTGAGTAGCAGAATTGCCTTGAAAAGTGGGTACCCACGCTAGCTCAAAATGCACAGAAAATAAATTCTGCAGTTTGCTCACCGTTTGCCCGTGATACTCCCATCTCATACAACCTCTGTCTCAGCATGAGAGGGAACCAAGTTTTGAGAAGCGATGTCTTGGGGTAAATGAATTCAAACATATTGCCCTCTCACAGCAGCCACATTTAAACACATAACCCTGCTCAAGAATCTGTGTAAAGGGCCCCAACTCAACTCAGAGCACCCCAGGCAATGGACTAGTGATGAGGGGGGTGGATATTTCACAAAATTTTGTGGTCTTTATGGGGTTTAAAAGGACAATAAGTCTTCAGGCAATGAGTCCTGCACTGGGAATACACTCCAAATGGCAGGAAACCTGTGCCCATCCAGTTACCAACTGAGTAGATGTGGGCCTGGCGATCGTTGCCAACTGCACCATGTGCAAGGGGGGAGGGAGTATCTCCCCTTAGTTTAGAAATCATCCCTAAAACATATTTATATGGGAATCAGGGGGTCAGGTTGGGATGCAGAGATTACTGATACGGGTAGATTTTTTTTTTTTAAATGTTTGGGAGTTTTGCCATTGACTTCAAAGCCATAAGCTTTAACACCTTGTCTTTTTCTAAAGCACATTTAATAATAGTACCTGACATATTTAGAGTGCTCATACATGTTCAATGCATTGTACAAACATTAATGTAAAGTTAGAAACCCACCCTGCACATTTCATGAGAAAGCCAGGGGGGCTGGACTCTTTCCTTAATCAGATCTGTATATGTTGATGAGCTAACAACAACAGCATAGTCACCTCTCTAGCTGCTTTGTACTCTCATAAGCAGGAACTACCATCAGCTGAGCCAAGGTGTTTCATATTAGTCATAATCCTCTTAAATCATTAAAAATTGCAGATTAAAACGTCTGAAGTGTGCTAAAACCAAGATAAATGCAGCTAACTCATTCTGAGTCATAGCCTGCATGACTGGTACACCCTCAACTTCTTCTGAAATCAAGAGGCATTTGGGGGTGTATGGGCCCTTTAATGATACCAGACTCCTGAGCCAGCCCTAACAATCCAGGAGCAAGGTGGCCACCCATAGTTCTCTCTTGGCAGCCAAAGCCATGGGGCAATAAAGCAAGTTCCTCCTTTGCTAAAGAGGAAGACTATGGGAGGAGGAAAACCAGTAGGAGCTTCTTGGAGAAGAAGAGGATAAAGTATAGTTAGTTGCCGCCAAAGAGTGAAGAACTGGTGGCCCTTAGGGCGATCCTTGCACATCTGACAAGCCACAAGATTGGCAGTGGGAAACCTCTCTCACAGGGACTCCAGTAAAAGCAGAGCCAGGTTGCTCATTACTAAACTACCCCAATCAGCACTTCTTACTAAACTAAAATTGCTCCTAGTGTTTGTTGTTGTGTAGACATTTACAGAAGTAACTGGAATCTTGAGCTGATCAGATTTCTGTCATACAGATTACAGTGGGTAACAGAAACAGGTTTCACTGTATTTAAGTGACCACTCAAAGGGACAACAAAATTTGCTGGCTTAACATAAGTGATTTGCTTATAAAGGTGGAGCTGTATTCTACCCAGTACCTTTGGGAATGCTATAAAAAGTGGTCTCTTAAAACAAAATGTTATCTATTATGGTTTCTTGCTTAGTTATCATTGAAAATCTATTTAAAAAAACCTTTAATCTGAAATAATCTAAACAATTAGTACATCCTATATATAGGATAGTCAAACCAGAAGCATACACAGTATATACTCTGTGCCCAATCAAAATTGCCATGTGCATTTTCACAGTCAAATACATTCACCTTTTATCTTTATTATATTGATATTAAGAGAATACAGACGAAAGTTTCTAAATTCTAAGTTCTAAATTCTTAGAAGTCTGAAGTACATATGACAGTCACCAACAATGAACACAAAGGGTTCTCATTTTGAAGTACACAATTGGCTGTGCTATCAGGAGAACATTCACATGTGAAGACAGCATTCCCCCATATTTTCTCTGTTCATTCCACCAGTTTTTACAACAATAGTTAACTGTACAGTTTCACTGTTTACAATACTATATTGTCAAAGGTAAACAGTTTGATACTATATTTTCAATCATTATTGCTTAAGATTGCAAACATGAATGCTGGTAACCATTTAGAAATAATAAATGTGGTTCCTAGAAATCTGTCTTTACTGATCTCAACATTTCTAGGTACAAGAAGTTTTATACACAGTGAACCAGAGAACACAAGATATTTATATCTTATGCAATTCATTTCACACAATTCTAAAATATGATCAACACTGAAGCCTGTACTACCATCATTTCATTTAGGGTTTCATCCACTCCCATGTACTCACTCTCCCTCTCTCATGACAATACTTCTTAAATGTTTACTCCCTTGAAGACTTTATAAACTGCATGACATATTTAAACTCTCCCTTACAGATAATTTGTAATCAAGTGAAAAGAGTCTTTTTTCCTTCGCTGGATTCATTGCCCTCCCTTAAAAAAAAAAAATAGCCCTCTACTGAAATTCTCCACTATTTCACACTCAGAAACCTCCCATTTTACTTTAAAAATCCACCTTTCAACACAGAAAAAGTTCACATTTGTATGGATAAAAGTTCAGCCTTCTCCATTTGTATGTCTTATGATGATGATGATGTTCCCCATAAAACGACACTATTGAAGTATATTCATCATAAGAAATTCTGCAGCTTAGAAATGAACTACAAACTGCAGTCTTGCTGAGATGTCCCTGCAGGTTGGCTCTGGCACATAACGCTTGCACATCTTATGCTTTGTCTAAACAGGAAGCACCCACAAGTGAGCAAGAAAGCTCTCAGATAGGGGTCACAAGTCTGTGAATCAGAACCTAGGCAAAGCTTTAAAAATAAACAAACAAAAATAAATGCAAGTCTCAGCAGATATTTTCCCCCAGGGTTTTCAAAAACCTAACCGGGCTCTTAAATATTGTTTATGTTTCAGAGATTTTCTGAAAAGAAAACTCTATTTGCCAAAAAACAGAACCCTCCCCCCCATTTAGTTTGTATTCCAAATACAGTATTAAGGAAGCAGGAATAAACTCTGATGTAGGTGGCTGGGGTTACTGCCCTGTTTCAAACACCTGACAAAGGTCATTTTACTTACACTTCAATATTTAACTGACAAATGCTTTTTAAGCTGTTTTTCATCCAAAAGAAGATTAGAAAAAAAATCAATTCTTCTCTCTTGTAAACCTTGGGACACTTTCTAGCTTTGAAATCAAACCCATGGGATTTTGACTATCCTGAGTTCTGACCCAAATCCCCTAGATCACTGCAACGGTACAATAATGAAAGGAAAAAAAAAGGGACCGCAATCACCTGATTTCTCACAGCCTTTTGACATTAAACAGGTTTGTACCACAGAGAATCAAGTAAAACCTTGTATATCAGGAGACTTTACAATTGCTAAGAAGGGTTAGGTGTGGCACATCCTGCTCCTGAAGAAATCTAAAGTCTGACTTTTCACCACTTCCCGACTTTTAACTAACTCCCTTTAAAAAAAAAAAAAAAAACCCCAAAGCTACAAGAAATCTTTTTTCTCCTCACCCCAACACTGCAGAACAGACTACCTGCCTATGCAATAAACACCAACTTAATTGCACTGGTCATCTGGAAAGGAGAGAGGAAATCACACCATTATTTGGATGAATCACTGTTGAATTGGTGGGTTCATTCGTCATTTACTAGAAATCTGATGGGAAGAGACGGGGACGCCCTAGAGTGTTGTACAGAAGGGTGCAGAGATCCCCTTTATTTTGGGGAAACCCTGCCAATACCTCAGGAGCTGGTGCCCAGCACCCCCAGTTTGCACACTTCTGCAAAGCACCATCCTGCCTGAGTCCCACCTTCCAGCCAGCCACGGACCGTGACAAAGCGGAGTCTCTTTGTACAGGGAGCTGGGAGGCTGAGTGCCGGAGAGGCGAGGAAGCTGGGCTCCTAGCAGAGGTTGCCCTCTACGGGAGAGCCTTTGCAGAGCGCTGCCTTGTGTTACGGGGGAAGGGTCTGGGGGTGAAGAGAGGCTCACCTGAGATCTCCGCCTGGGGTACCCCGTGCAGGCTGAATCCTTTGGTCGCATAAAACTGCCGGACCTCGGTGCAGCTCTTCGCTTTGCTGCCACTGTCACCCCGAGCCGAGGAGGAGGCGACACACAGCAGCCAAAATCCCCACGGGAAGAAATGCATCCTCCTTCTCTGCCGAGCCCCCCGAACCTGCAGCGCAAAGGACAATCCCAAGGTCCCGCTGACCGCGGGCTGCAAAGCGGGCTCTCTCCCTCTGCCCGGCGCTCGCTAGCTGTTTGCAGGCACGGTGCACGGAATGGGGGGGAGCTCAGTCCCACCTTCCCCCTAGCATCCCTGCCTCCCCGCCCCACTAGAAAACAACACTCAGGGGAAATCAGATGGCAAGGGGGCGGGGGGTAAAAAAAGTCCCCAACCTACAGGCAAAAATCACTGGGACCTAGGCAGAGCAATGCAAGATCTCGGGCTGCGGAGAGAGCCTGTGACTTCCAAGCGCTATTGCACGAAGAGGGGGAAGAAGAAGAACGGGGGGGAAATCCTGGCTCTTCTGGGGCTGACTTCCCAGGGATGGTGCAGCTGCCGCCACTCAGAACGCAGGAGCTCCTGGGGGATGGAACCCGGCCCCGATCCCAGCAGAGGCAGATCCCACTTGTGTGTAAACGCTCTGGTTAGTGCGGAGGGCACATCTCCCCCAAGCTCCGGCAGGGCGCTGCTGTGGGGGACGGTTGCGATGCAAACGGATTACAGCCCGGAATGGGCAAAGTTTGAGGCCGGGCGCTAAGGGAGAGCGTGGAAGCGGCTGGGGCGGGGAGGCGGCGCGGCTCTCCTCGGGAGCAGCAGTAGCAGGAGCGCGGGGCGAGCGCGCGTGTCCCCGGCAGGAGCAGTGAGCCCGGCCGGCGGCAGCGGCGCACCACCTGCAAAGAGGGCGAGGGCGGGGAGGCTCCGCTGCAAGGCAGGGCTTTCCCCCACCGGACGTGGCATCATGCAGCCCCTGCGCCAATCAAGGGCGGGGAGCTGCCCTCCTCCTGCCTTGCCCCCAGGCTCCTCCCACGCCGACCCGGGGGGTTGCTCCGTTAAACTCTGCGCCGCCTGCTCCCCGCGTGGTGACAGCAGCTGCCGCCGACACCTGCTAATTTCCAAAAGTCAGGGCAGCGCGCGAGGGCAGCCAGCGCCCCGACACCGTTCCGCAGCCCCTGCGCCTTGGGCTCCCTTCAACGCCGGGCATCTCCTTCGGCCACAGGCCGGCGTAAGCCCAGCGCGAGCTCGGGGCCGTCTGGCCGGTTCCGCGGGCAGGAGCCCTCTGCACAGTAAAAGCAAAGCCCGGCATGCAACCTGCCATACCTGGCGGAGCATGCTGCCTGTGCTCCATTATAGGGCCAACGTCCTTCTGCAAACTACAGCACAAAGCCTTGGGTGCTGGAGAGTCAGTGGTGCAGGCTGAGTGCCAGGCTTTGCCCTGTATTTTTCAGAAGACCCAACCCTGCTATGTAATAACCAGAATTGCAGTAACTTTAAAGCATCTTTAGGAAAGATGGTCATGGAGCAAATGTAAGGGGACTGTTGCCCCCTTACTAACATTCAGTGGGGGTGTTTTGGTTGCTAGCTCCTAGTACTAAAAAGGGAAGGGTCTATGGGAAATCAGGACCCTGAGACTGACAGTCCCCAGGAACAATGAGGAGAGGCCAATGCTTCAGGTCAGCCTGAATGACAGGGCGGGCAGGCTAATCAGGGAGTCAGGAGGCCAGGGTGGTCCCCTCCTCTGTGTGAGCTGGATTTGCCTGGATCGGACAGAGTGTGGCTGAGCTAAGGAGAAAGCAGGGGCCCAAGCTGAGCTGGGGAGCAGAGCTGTGCCAGATCCAGAGGGGCCAGAAAAGCAGCCCAGAGAGAGCAGACCCTGTCCTGGGAGCAGAGCTGCAGCCCCAAAGCCAGAGGCACAGCCCAGAGAGAGCAGACTTGCCCTGGGAGCAGAGCTGCAGCAATCAGAGCCCGAGGGGCCAAAGAAGCAGCCCAGGGAGCTGGAGGCAGAGCAGCAGAGACAGAGTGGTGGAGTTGGGGCTGGGGCTGGAGCAGTCCAGAGCTGGGTGTGGTGAGCAGCTGGGAAGACTGAGGGGGACCCTGGGCAGCAGGCCCAGCACAGGGAGATGCCTCAGCCAAGAGGCTCTGCAGGCCAGGCTTGGATCGTAACCCCGACAGGGTGGGGGTGACACTGGGAAGAAGGGTCCTACCACTTAGAAACTGAGAGCGTGTGGCTACCACCAGAGCAAGTGTCCAACCCACAGCATCCCTGCAGCACAACCAGGGCCTGAGAAGAAGGCCTGGGTCTTGCAAGGAACAGACTGTGAACTGCCCTGACATTCCAGAGACACTGTTTGTGATGTTCCCTGCCACAGAGCGGGGTGATGTGTTTCCTTTAACCTTTCTCATTATTCCTTATTCTTTTTAAAATTAATTGTTGATTAAATAACTTGCATTTGCTTTAAATTGTATGTAATGGTCAGTGGGTCAGAGAAGTGCTCAGTGCAGAGAGAGTACCCTGGAGTGGGGACACGCTAGCCGCTGTCCTAGGTGACCACAGCAGGGTTGGGGGTTGAGCCCCCCCATGAATCCTGGGCCCAGCCTTGTTGGGGTTATGAGGACTCTGCCAGACAAGAGAGTGGAAGGGGAGTCCTCAAGGGCAGGGAGGCCACTGGGTAAAGAAAGTGGGAGCGAGGACTAGGATCCTTTCACTAGCCCACTTCACCGGGGTAGTGCAGAAGCCAGGAAAGTTCCCCACAGTAGCGGGACTATTCCCCCGCTTACACAAGGAACATCTATTGTTTCAGTATCACTTAAACCAGTGGTTTTTAAACTTTTTTTCTGGCAACCCAGTTGAAGAAAATTGATGACCATGACCCAGCAGAGCTGGGGATGAGGGGTTTGGCGTGTGGGAGGGGCTCAGGGTTGGGGTGAGGGCTGCAGGCTGGGGCTGGGAATGAGGAGTTCATAGTGTGGGAGGGGGCTCAGGGCTGGGGCAGGGGGTTGGGGTGTGGGGGGGGTCAGGGCTCTGGGCTGGGGGATGAGGAATTGGGTGCAGAAAGGGGCTCTGGCTGAGGGGGCAGAACTCAGGGCTGGGGCAGGGGGTTACCTCAGGCGGCTCCTGGTCAGCGGCACAGCAGGGGTGCTAAGGCAGGCTTCCTGCCTGTCCTGGCACCGTGGACTACACTGCGCCCTCAAAGCGGCCAGCAGCATGTCCAGCTCCCAGGCAGAGGCACGCAAGCATCCCCACACAGCTCTTCCCCCCCCAATCCCCACCCCGAGCTCTTACTGGCCAATGGAAGTATGGAGCCAGTACTCGGGGTGGGGGCTGTGTGCGGAGCCCCGTGGGCCCCCCGCCCACCTAGGAGCAGGACCTGCTGCTGGCCACTTCCAGGGCCCGGTGTCAGGCAACACCGCTGATGGGACTTTTAACGTCCCAGTCGGCAGTGCTGACCAGAGCTGCCATGACCCAGTGCCTTACATTCCGTGACCCAGTACTTGGTCACAGCCCACGGTTTGAAAACCACTGACCGAAACCCAGAGCTTTGGCAGCTGATTAACAGAGGAGTTTCTGCATAAATTAATCTCAGCTTCTTGATCACACTCTCAAGCTGCTGGAATAACACTGACACTGACTGAGCACATAGAATTCCTCCAGTCCTGGTCCCTGCAGAGTGATTTTCTTGTAAGATCAGATATCTAAGGGATACTCGGGGGGGGGGGCATTTATAAAGAAGGTATTCAAAGATGGGCCCACAAATGCAAAGACACAAGCTGTCACTGTCAAGCCTGAATCCCCACTCTGTCACTTCGAGTGCAGAAGGTAGGGGCCCGCAAGGATTCTAAAAATTAATACTGGCCACTCCAGGCTTGTATTAAACTCCCAAAGTTATAGCTTTTCTCTGACCTTGGCTTGGTAAATGCTGCCACCACCCAAATGCCAAAAAAAAAACCAACCTGGAAGGAGCCCTTGGGCATTTCTCCCTGTGGGGTACCCTCAAGCCCTTTCATCCCCACCCCTCCAGGGAAGAGCTGAAAAAGAAAACAAAGGAAATTAGCTGTTACCACCAGCTAATCAAACAGCATATGCACAAACCTCTTAGGACACCAAAAATCCTGTTCTTAAGAAAGGTAAATTTTATTAAAAACAAAAAGGAAGAAAATACATTTGAAACAGGCTTTTGCTAGATTTTAAAAAAACAGTTCCAAAAATTAAGTATCCAAAATAGCTTTCTTGGGGTTCATCTTAAAGGTTACAAGCAAACAAAAGCATCTGGGGTTAGCACAGAGGAGATCCACAAGCCAAAATAAAGAAATAAACCTGACTGCATTTATCTAAACATTCCCTATCCAAATTATTCCTTCTAGGTATGGAAGATAATTTTTCATACCTGGTTCAAACCTTAAACAGCATTCCTGCTTATAGCATTGCTGCTCCATGTTCCTGCATCCCAGAGAGAACAACAGAACAAAAGGAAAGTTTCTTTCTCAATTTTAAAAAGTTCTAGCCTTCTCATTGGCTTTTTTGATCAGGTGCCCACTTTTTTTTTCCTTTACCTGGGGGACTTTTTAACCCTTTACAGGTAAAGCAAGTAGAGAACAGCTACCAGGAGGGATTTTACAGCTAACTGGCTGTCTGGGTGTCCATCAAAGGGAGCTACCTCCACTTCATTTATCACATGGGCCCACAAATGCAAAGACACATGCTGTCACAAGGTTAGAATATGTATAATTTTTATCAGATTGCAAGTTATGTTGTTGCCCTGACAAATCTGTATTTGAAAAGTTGAGTGTGAAAAATGGAGCCAGTTTTATTCTATTCATTCATATATCACACATCAGAATAAAATTGTCGTTAGTAAGGTTATTATTCATTTGTAGAATGGTGGCAGTTAGAGGTGCCAACTGAGTTCAGGACCCAGCGGTGCTACATGCTGTACAAACACAAAGGCAGAAATATTCACTGCCCCACTGGTTTGAGACAAGACAGACAAAGGAGGTTAATATTAATCTCACTTTACAAATAGGAAATTGAGAGATCTAGTTGTATTGCCTAGCATCATGCTGTCAATCTGAACAGGGGTTGAACCAGGCCTACCTGAGTCTCAGTGCACATAGGGTATGTCTACACTGTGATAAAAGACCTGTGGCACCAAGTCTTAGAGCCTGGGTCAGCTGCCTCAGGCTCACAGTGTGCTAGGGCTGTCACAAGAAGACAGGTCATGCCTCCTCATTGTTGAGACCTGGTTAGCTCCTTCACAGTAGACAGTAGCAGGTATGTCTATACTGCAATAGAAGACCCACAGCTGGCCTGTGTCAGCTGACTCAGGCTCATGGGGCTCAGACTGTGGGGCTATATGTTTTCAGTGTGTCACTCAAGCTGACCAAAGGGCAGCTCCAGCACAAGCCCAGACATCTACACTGCAGTTTGATAGCCCCGTAGTCTGAGCCCTGTGAGCCTGAGTCAGCTGACCCAGCTCAGCTGCCGGTTTCCTACAGCAGTGTGGATGTACCTGTAGATGTCCACTGGGGGGGAGCTAACTTGGTCTCAACAATGAAGAGACATAACGCATCTCCTTGTGATATTTTGACATCCAGTGAGGTACTGGGAGTTAACAGCCCCCTTGTTAAACAAGAAGGGTGGGGGGAGGCAGGGCATTTTCAGGCAGAGGGTCTCAACTTTGGAATTTGCTTCCCAAAGCCTGAAGTTGCTGAGCTTTACTTCCCAATGAAACACTTATCTATCAGACAGATACTCTGGGCACTGCCAAACATCCATCAGATGGGACCAATTTATAATCTCTGCTGAGATGAACAGGATATAAACTAGTGACTAACAGGTGAAAGGCTCAATAGCTCATTAGCAACATCCAGTCCCCGTAAATGCTAGTGTGTTACACCTTTGCAAATGAGGCTAGCTTTTTGAC